CTGAGAGACTTGTGGGGAAGAAATGTGCATAGGAATTGTATAAGAACTGTGGGTGGAGGAGAAAAAGAAGAGTATTCTCAGCTAACTGTGGCTCTTATGTGCTGTTCCTCTCTTCAGTTCATCCTCGGATAGTCGCTTAATCAAAAACTTGAAATACCACATTCTCGTTCTTTTTGCAGTATGACATCATTACGGTCATTGGGAAAATAAGACCTAAGCATTTAATTTGAAGTATTTTTTTAATCTTTAATTAATAGATAGCTGGGCCTAAGAACAAACTTTATGCATATGTAAGCAATGCTTTTTGAATTTTATTGTAATTTTATGTGCTCATAAATTGTTTTCGGAAGGATCTTTGTCTGATATATCTCTTTGAATTAAGATGAACTACCCAATAAAGTGACTTCTAAGTGTTGCAGAAAGATGTAAATAGATATTACTTCATGAGCTTATTCCAGAAATTTTAGACCATTAAATAAGCTGTGTATCACTTTCTAGCAAAAATTTTAAGACCTGCAGAATTCCAAGTGAAAAATAGAGATCACTGATCATCAAATTATTTAACATATGCAGGCATACAAAAGAAAGTTAGAATCAAGGTTCTGCAAACAGAGGAAGGCAGAAATTGCTGCTCTGGATCAGGCCTGTTGAATGATCTTATATATAACTTCTCCTTTCACTTTGTAAAAGTAATGTCATTGCTAGAAACAGAAAAGCTTATACTGCTATTGTTTCTAATCCTCTAATACACAGATAAATCCTTGTACCCATAGGTACATAAACCATAAAACCTGCAAAGACTTGTGAAATTCAGTGTTGCAATTTGTTTGTACAAGAACTAATTTTTTGTCTGCTTAGTAGTACATTTTCTCTGTGTATCCTCTTACAGGTGTTCTTTTGAGAGTGAGTTGGGTTTTATTTATATTGTAGTAGCAAAGGAATGATGTTTCTTACAATACTGTCATGCTGCTTTTTTTGTGTATGCCTCAGTGCTGTGTTGTCTTGTATTGAGGGAGATTTGCAGGCCAAATGTTGGATTTTGTTTATATGAAATCTCCCCTTTTCCTACACCGTTCTCTACTCTGAGCTCTCATGTTTTTGGAGTGTTGTGGAGGGGGTTTGAGTCTTCATTGTCTCTACTCATAGACACTATTCTAAAAGAGAGCATACTGTAGATCTGCTGCAAACTTTTCAGTATTTCTTTCTTCAGCATAACTTATGTTTTCTTCGTGGTTGTTTTATTTTGGGTTTTGGTGTTTTTGGTTTTGGTTTTTTTTTTTGATTTAAAGATATTTTTCTTAGACTTTTCCAGATCGAAGTGCATGGTATTGCTGGGTTGGGAATTCAGTAGGGGTTTTTGTCCTGGATGTTATCTCTCAATATTAAACTGAATCTGTTCTTGTGTTCATAGGATTGCTGGAAAATTCAGGTTCAAAGGGATCTTCAAAGGTCTTTAGTCTGACCTCCTGCTCAAAGCAGGGTCACCTGTAAGGTCAGAACATGTTGTGAAGGATTTTACCTAGTCAGTCCATTAAAAATTTGAAGGAAGGAGACTGCAAAATTACTGTAGGCTTATCTGTTCCAGTCCTTGACTGTCCTCACGGTGAAAATAAGTGTCCATTCTGCAGTTCTCTAGTTCTAGTTTGAGCATGGTCTCACTGCTTCTTGTCCACTCACCGGTACCCCTGTGGTGAGCCTGACTGCTTGCTGACCTTGGAGGTGCAGACACATGCTGTTAAGGTCTGCCCAAAGCCATCTCTTCTCCAGGCTGAATCAGCCCAGCTGCCTCTGCCTTTACTCACAGGACAAGTGCTCTGCCTCCTTGAGCATCTCGTTGGCTACTGTGTCCACGTTCTGGGTGCAATTCTTGTATTGTGGGGACCCAAAAGGAAGTACATTAGACCATGTCTGGAATAATAAGCACTGACTGAGTAGAGGTGGCAATCAGTTTCCTCATCTACTGACAAGGCTCTTCTTAATAAAGCCTGAGATGCTGGTGACCTTTCCTGACAAGGCACAGTGCTGGCACATAACCACCTTGCTTTATGCCAAGACCTTTTCCATGGAACTGCTCCCCAGGCACTCATCAGCCTGTATTGTTGCCAGGGCCTCTCAGGTACAAGTGTTTTGTGTTTGTCCTGTCTGAATTCGTACAAATCCTGTAGGGACCGTTCTTCCAGGCTGTCTAGGTCCATCTGAATGGCAGCTCTGTCTTTAGACTTGTGGATTGATCCTCTTCGCCCCAGTTAAACTTGATCTTAAAATTCTGACTAGAATATGCCTTACTGGCCCTGCAAGGCATTGGTAAAGGTATTTAATGGACTTGTCCTAGACTCCTGCAGCACTTCAAATCATCATCCAGGCAGCATACAGCACTTTGTCCTCTGAGCCTGACCAGCCAAATGTTTCCTTCAAGTCTAGTTGTTTATCCATTCTCAAAAGAGATATTTTCTAGTTAACCAATAGTCAATTGCTTGACCTTCCCATGACTTTTTTTAGTGTGTTGATGCATTTTATTATTGGCTTTATTTATCAATGAAACCCTACCAATTAATCTTTGTTTTGTATGTTGTATAATTTCTGTGTTCCTGAGTACTTCCTCACTCAGTAATTAATTTTTTGTGAACTTCTTGTGAGTGTCTGTGCCATTGTACCATATCTTCTACATTTTTTAAATGATGCATGTTTTAGTAATTTCAGGTACTTCTGTCTACTGTCTGAAGTACAGCAGACTGATTTAACATTTCTTAAAGCAGATGGGGTTGTCTAGTTGCTTTAAAAGAGGTCCAGACACAATCTTGTCCTTAGCTCAGGTCCTTTGTCATTATTTGGCCACTTCTCTTTGAAATAAGCATGAAATAAGCTCTTTGATAGATAAGCATGCTGGGACTGGGATGTCACTAGTGTTCTTCATATAAAATTAGTAATAAAGCAACAGTTCTAGCAGCAGTACTTCAGTGATTGACTTGTTCTGGTGGTGGTCTGCAAGATGTTCCAGTAATCAGATTTCTTAACTATCATCTAATAAAGTAATTTCCCATTCTTATGTTTTTGGTGGATTTAAAATCATTGCCTTTTACACTTCCTTTTTTTTTTTTTTAATGATTCCTCCTTTTCTACAGCTTCATTGTACTGAATTCTGTTTTTCTGTTTTATATGGGAATCTTGTTAGTTTAGCACTAAATATGCTCTATGTAGTGCCTCTTTACTCCCAAAGGCTGCATTTCGTCTTCCCAGTACTGGCCACAAACTGTTCCCTTGCTTACCATTTCTGTGAATTGTACTTGTCTCATGCCAGCAACAAGCTAAAATACCTCCTGTGTAAGAGTAATTCTTAAACATTTACTCTCAGTTACAGAACCATGCTGTTTTGCAATGTGGCCACAAATCTGTAACTATTTTACCCATCGACACGCTTGGTGTTACAGCATTTTCAACAGCAGAATTAAGTGGAATGGATGTCTGTCTCTTTAGCCAGACAGGTGAGAGTCCAGCTGTTAGAGCTCTTGTGAATCAGGTATGGACTGAAGTACAAATAGATTTATGTATCTGATATGGTGGGAATACATGGATGAAAGTCCAAGTTATTTAATAACTGTAAATAGAAATTTTCTTGTTTTCAGACATTGCTTTTACATGAAAGTACTATTTGGACTGGGAGACATGGGGGGTACATGTGAAAATATGAATTTTCACATATTTGATCGACTGTCTGTCTTATGGATGTCATTGGCACCTTTCAGTTCCTCACTTTGTCAGTTTGTTCATGGTTTTGCTTAGGGCTGTGCCTGGACAGGCAAATAACATAATTTCTTGTGTCCTTGTTAGATGTCCATTTGCAGATTTCGGGGTTTTCAAAGTATTTTTGACCTGACAAAAGTATTAGTGTACAAATGAGTAAACTTGACTCTTTCGGGGGGAGGGCAGGGGCACGAGGGGAAGTGGCTGATGGATTTTTGGTTCGGTTTGGGGTTTTTTTTCGACTTCAAAGACTGAGTAAGATGTGTTATCTTAACTGACTGAATAGTACTTCCCTCCTCACAGTTCAGTGTGTTGGCATGCATTTGTGTGTGATCATGATTCAGTTGTTTTTTGTGTGCCTTATTGATTATTACAGTGGGACCTTTTTGCTGGCTTCACATGAAGTAGAGCATTGCTAACTATCTGGATGTTTATATAAAATACTAATTGCATGTATGTGTTGACTTTTTATATAAAGAGAAGAATGTTTTTGCTACCTGTGCAAGAACTGGCTGATTTAAGTGATTAAATGAAGACTGCATAATTAATGAATAAGCAAATATAATGTAATTCTTCTTTCTCTCCAGAGAAATTTCTGAAAATCTATGCTAAAATTGATATTTTAAAAGCAAACAATTAAACATAAGACTTCCTTACTGCTATTGGAATCTTCTAACAAGAGAGCCAAAGGAAATGCCTACCTTATATTGTCATTGGAACAGCATCTATTTGAGGTTTCCTTAGGCCTCTTTTTTACCCTGCTAACTAAGCTGCATGTGCACTTAGTCTTTTTTCAAAGAAAAGTTATTTTTCACAAGAAGTACTCTGCTTTTGCAGCAATTTCTTTCTGTGCTTAATAAGTTTCTTCTAAAATTTTAATTTTTTTCCAGAGATGTTGATAAACCTTTTTTCTTAATTCCTGCATTATGCGTAGGGAAGAAATGATAGAAATAATACTTAGAATGACAAGGGAAGCCCTTAACAGAGCAGAACTTAAAACCTTGACTGAAAGTATTCTGCTGTAGCCATTAAACCATTCTTTTTCCCTTGCAAGAATTTTTCTGAAATTTGTGCTATGAAATGATACCATAGCAATGGGGTTGGAGATGTACATATGTTGCTAAGAAACTACATGATCTGTTCTGGACCAGCCACTGCGGTGAAGTGGCTGTTTTGAGTTGTTGCATATGAAAAGGGCCACTTTAGGTGATGTGCGTTTTGCTCCACCAATTTCTGACCTGCAATGCTTGCCTTTGCAGATGGAACATGAGGATTTTGTAATGGAGGGGCATGGCAAGACTCCACCTCCTGGTGAAGAAAACAAACAGTGAGTCACGCGTTTATTTAAAAAGGGCCTTACTGTAGTACATGGTGTGAAGCACTCTCATTTAAGCGTGCTGGGAGCATTGGCTGGTTGCTTGGTGCTCACCCTATTGGTTCCTCAAATATCCATATATATATATATATAAAAATAGTGAATGGTGGCTGAAAAAAAAAAAGAGGCAGGATGTTGATTTGCCTTAAATGTAAAAGCATAGAAATATGCATTGCAATTTCAATACATGAATCAGAAATTGTTGTAAAAGGGATAATCATTCTGGAAGCTTGGCACTGCCGTAGTGAGTTTGTACATGAAGTTTTTATGCAGCTGCTCTTCATTGAAATGATGTGAAATATGAAAGAACCAAGGCCTTCCTTTTGGTGTGCATATGGCAGATTGGTGCTCTTTGAGCCTTATTTCTTTAGAATGCATTTTAATAAAGGATCAAAAATTACAAACAAAACACTCTTTTGAGGATGAACAATGCAAGATGCTGGTACACAGAGCTTTAGGGAAAGCAGCCTGATCAGAGAAGAAAATGACTGATTTCTGTTAGGAAAAGGCTTTTTCATATGATTTCAGACTGAAATCCAGTACTGGTTGGACTTTTTCCTGGGGTTTTTGTTTGGATAGGAGGAGCAGAGCCTTGTCCTAGAAGTACTTCGGTGATGCCTGTATTCTGTATTTTCGTCATTAGTTAATGCAATGATCACTCAGTTCTGATACCATAATTCATTTTTTCCTTTTCCTGTCATTTGGAGCAAGGAAGAAAGTGGTCTTTGGAAAATCTAGATCACAGAACTCTTTTTTTCCTAAGCCTAATTGGATGTCTCCTCATGAGAATTTCTTGTTGATCTTCACTACACTTGTTGCAGAAAGGCTGGGATGTGACTTGGGGTGAAGTGTACTTTGCCTCCTAGATAAGCTGGCAACTGTAAGTGCACTGCATGTGTGACAGTGAGAAACCATTTCTAAGGTAGGCAAGTTGAGGTCAGCAGAGTTCTACTGCTGAACATGCACATTCTTTCTATTGTGGACATGAGCCAAACTTCTCAAAGTAATTGTTATTATTTCTATCTATTCAGACTGAGCAACTTACTGTGGTACCAAGAGATACAAAAGTTGTTGAGGTAGAAACTTTCAGAAAGTTCCAAAAGAAAAATTTGAGCAGAAATACAAAGTAGGAGTTAGATTTCTGCTCTCCTGAATTTGTTTATTTATATATCTGGTAGTTTAATGAAATACATTATTATAGTGAGTAATATGAGGGATGTTGCATTGGATTTGTCATAGCTTTGTGTTTGTTAGGTGTCTTATTTTAGATGCAGGTGGGAACTAGAATTACTTTAGAGTTGATCTGATTTTTAACTGGAGCTTTCCAAGTGACTTGAAACATTATCTCTCTTCTTGAAATTTCTGGTTATTAAAGAATATGAGATTAGTGATAGGCAATATTTTTAAATTTTAACTAATAAATTTGTGCTGAGGTGGCATCTGAATCCTTATCATACAGATTCTGCTGTAGGAGTATCATTCTTAATAATGTTTTGATTGAAGTCTAAAGGTGTGATTTTAGTAATGCAACAAAGAGTTGAAAGTAGTTGTTTTATGCAACTAATAGTAGCATAATGCCAGCAAAATTCAGTTGAGGGTATTGCTCTTAAATTTAAATTCATCACTTGAATCTTTCTCTACTCGCAGTACCAAATTTTCAGCTTAAGTAACAAATTGTCTGCCTTGACAGAGTTTACCTCTTGTTGTAAAAAGGAAGAAAAGTAAATCTGAAATGATTTCTTGGTATTATTACTTACTTGCAGTGGGGATTAGCTGGACGTCAACATACTGGACTGGGTTTTTGAAAGAGCACAGAGAGGAACTCTGGAGCATCTGACAGAGGAGAAGCAGGGAAAGCTGTAGCTGTTTAGCCTTGAGATAAGAACACTTGGGGAAGATATTATCCATGTGTACAAGTGTCTGATGAGGAGAGTAAGGAAGATGGAACCAAATTCTTCACAGTGGTGCCTGGTGGAGAGGCAAGAAACCATTGGCATAAACTGAAATACAGGAAAGTCCACTCAAACACAAGGAAAAAGAAATTTCTTTTTTTACTGTTAAACATGGTCAGAGCTTTTAGAAGAGGTTACCCAGAAAAGTTGTGCCTTCATAGCCCTTTAAGTGACTCAAAACTCAGCTGAGCACAACTCCAGTTCTGCTTTAGCTTGCTCTAGTTAACCATGCTTTGAGCAAAGGCATGGGATTGATGGTCTCAGAGATCCCATCCATCTGCAGTGATTCTGTGATTTGGTACCCATGTCTACTGTTGTCCTCCTAGTTGGTTTGAAATAAAATTGGAGCTTGTTAGTGAAAGGTAGATTCTAAGTTTGAATGTAGAGTCAGATGTTCTCTTACAGAAATAGCTGATCCACTGAAGATGCTTCCTTCCCTTTCCAGCTGTCCTTAGTAGACTTTACTGCCTCTACAGCTATGCAGATGGAATGTTTTTTCTTTGACTGCTTCTAATTTACTTTTCGGGAAAGCTGGCCATTGTAATGTAATTGCCTTTCGTTAAGCAGCCTGATCTGGGTTGCTCTGCACTGAGATTATTGAGGGAGTGTTCAGAAGATAGTTTCAGCAAGGGAGTGAACTTGCACTGGAGTTCCAGAGCAGTCTGCCAGTGCTGATCTCCTAGGAAAGCCCTGCAAATTTCTTACTATTTATCTGCATTTCAGTGGCTCAAAGCTTTAATGGACAATGAAAGAACAGAAATAAAAAGATGCTTCTGAGAAACTTTGAATGGATGCAATAGTTCTTACCTAGCCCCGGTTTCATGTGACATTTCCCTTGCTAAAGTATAGCTTCAAAACTGAACACAAAGAGCCAGCATCCATGGATGATTTCTAGCACTTTATGAAACAGAATATTTCTTCAGTTTGACTCAGGGATAAAAACCTGTCATTTTTGCCTTCTAGTATTATACAAACACACACACAAAAGATGCAAACAAACCCAGCAATATCAAACAACACTGCTGTAATGTTGTACTTTTTTCTGCTGTACTGGACAGTTATTTTGGACAGATTTACCATAAAATTACAGTGTTTTAAGATTTTTAATTGAACTGTAAGTGATACCTGAGAAGTGCTGTCTTCTGATACCTGTCACCTTTATGAGAAGGAATTACCTGGATAAGCTGTATACAAGGTCTTCAGAAATCTTCAACTGATCATTTACAACATGAATATAATTTATTTCAATTTAAGCTAATTATGAGGAAGTTACCCATTCAAAATCCTTAGTACAAGTGAGAAATGGAATGGGCACAGTCATCTCAGTCCTGTGAAAGATTTGCAGTTTATGTGCGGTGCATGTGTCACAAAGGTGTCATGGTTGTGCAACAGTAAAGTGATTTATGCTAAAAACTGGACTTAGATGAAGTGAGCCTGCTGGGGCTGCTGGAGTGGATCATGGCCATCTCACACCGAGCTCCTGCTCTGGCTGAGGGCCAGTGACTCCTTGATAAATTGTTACTGCCCAGTTTTTATGTACTCTGTAACCTTCTCCCTTCTTAGCTGTCTGGCATGGAATATAACTGTGTGTTAGCTTGGTCACATAATTTTATGTGGCTAATATGTTTGGTAAGAAACCCCTTTCCTTCCTTCCTTCCCAATGGAGAAAGATGTCATTATGCTTAATTACAGCTGAACGTTTTGTTAGAAGTATTCTCTCATATTTTCATCCATTACAAAGAGGTTGACCTGAACTGGCATGCTTAGGGCGTAAATATTATCTCCCTCCACAAAATACTTGCATTTTACATGGCAGCAGCCTGTTGTGCTCTTATCAGTTGTAATAGGGCTTTTACTTTGCTACTGCTGGAGCAAAGATTAAGAGGCAGATGTGATCCAGAAACATCTTTCCAAAACAGTCGAACTTCTGTTGATGAGCATGGGGCAGGCACAGGGGCAGGAAGAAGAGTTCTGCTGAAGTCCTTAAATTGAGGTTCTGCTCCTAGCTCTAGCAGCATTTATTAGCAACTCTGCTTGTGCTAATAAATTACCACCTGCTGTCACAACCAGAAATGTATGCACCCTAATGAGTGAAAGGGACTGGGTAATGAAAAACTACTCCTTTTTAGAAGGTAAATGTAAATGTTTTGCTCTTCCTCACTGACAGGTGGAGAGGTCTGTTTGACAGTAGCTATTCAGACAAAAAGTGAGCCAAGTTCATGGTTGCATTTAGTAGGAAGGTAAGCCAAGCTGCTTCTGCTGTCTGAAGTACCTCAGCTGGCTATTCCCTGCCTGCTGTTTTGTAGTAAGGGGAGAGAAAAGTCTTCAACTATCATGACTATTTGTACATCTGAAAGTGATTCACATTGTAAGAAAGGTATCAAAACAAGATAATTTCTGTAATTTAGTAAGTGTCATTGGTTAGACCTACTGAATAGGCTTTTTCCTTGCTTGATAGATTAATGTACACATTCTGGGGCAAGGGTTTTTAATGAAACCCTCCAAAATTGCAGTAATGCTAGGATGATATTGAAGCCACTGAGCATCACAAAATTGTTTAACATTTGGTAATAGTATCTTATTTTTCTTTGACATTTCAGCAGGAAGGTTCAATGTCTTCCTGGATCTGTGTGACCCTACAGTTAAAAGAAAGTAGTAGCTACATTGGCCTAACCTGGAAACAGGAATTACAGACTCCAAAAGTCATCTTGTCCAGCCTAAAGGTTGGGGGGGGGGGGCAGATTTGAAGGTTCTGTTTAACTTCTAAGCTTTATCAGGTTTCTCAGGTTTTTCTCAGGTTTATTAAAGAGCTTTTCTGGACAGTCTGTTACAATATTAATCACCCTCACAGTGAAGAAAATTTCCTAATATTCAGTAAGAATTTGTGATCATTGGCTTTCATCTTTGGATGTGTGTGTTTGAACGGGGCCCAGTCTTCATTAAAACTTACCACTCTGTTCACTTATACAGCAGAATAGCCCCTCCACCCCCCCCTCCCCT